ACAACGTCGTTGCCAAGCGACGAAAAACCAATCCCGATGGCAAACACCAATGGGGGGGGCTTGTTTCACAACGTCGTTGCCAAGCGACGAAAACCCAACCCCGATGGCAAACACCGGGGGGGGCGGCGGCATGTTTTACAACGTCGTTGCCAAGCGACGAAAACCCAACCCCGATGGCAAACACCTGGGGAGTGGCAATAAAACAACAAAAGAATGAAAAAGGCCCCTGTCCTGTGTGACCTTCCTCTTGTGCGACCCCGGCTGACACGTCAGGCACATTCGCCAAAGGACCTGAAAACCGGCGCCAGAATTGATGGGGGACGACCCCCCCCCCCTAGATTTCAGCCCACACCATCGTCGCACAGCATGCCTGAATGTCGCCGAGCATCCCGTCATTTTCTTCACAGCAAGTGGCCCTCCGAGAGTGCAATGTTGATCTAAATCGATCGAAGCGATGTGCCAGTTCCCATGACACCACGTTGTTTTCGGAATTGCTCTTTCGGGCAAGCATCATCCGTTAGTCGCGAGCGTTCAACAGTCCCCTCTCGCTGTCCTCGGACGGCGCTAGGCACCGTCTCTATGTCTTGCAGTCCGATCCTGTTTCCTAGATCGTCCCCGGAAATAAACCATTACATCAGTCCCCCGACGGGCTTGGTGTACCCCACGGCAACCTCCACATTTCGCAACCAAGGCTCGCTCCAGTGCTATTGTATCCGTGAACGCTATTGTTCCACCTCCCTTACCCCGCTTCAAGGCCATGAAAAAAAGCCTAGGAGCCCCCCCCGCCGCGCGCCATCTCCGCCGCAACGGCGCTGCCGGACACGTAGTGGGTGCCTCGCCCACACCTCCAGCCGTCGCCCTGACGAATCCACTGACGCCCGGCCGGGCACACGCCCATGCGCGCGAGGGCCAACCTCGACGCCGCCTCCACGGCCAGCTGCCTCTCCCTCTCATTCCTGGCCTTCTTCAGCGCGGCCTCCTTGGCGCGCCGGACCCGCGCGAGCGTGGCTAGCAGCTCCTCGTCCTCATCACCGCCGCGCCCGCCTCCTCCCGCCGGAGGCGAGACAGCCCGGCCCTGTCGGTGGCCAGCTTCCGCAGAAAGGCCCGCGCCTGTTGCGACGACAGGTCGATGCCTCGCTCGGCCTTGGGGAGAACGAGGGCCCGCCGAAGCCGTTTGCCGACCTCGCCGTCGCCGAGATCAGGGCTGTCGGGGGTTATTCCCTCGACCTCGCAGGCCTCTTGCAGGACGCATCTGTCCTCCACGAACAGGAAGGGGTCGACATCCTCCTCGTGGTCCGTGTCCGTGTCCGTGTCGTCCCGCACCTCGGCGGTACGGTTCGTACCGGCCACCTTCTTCGCGGTCGTCGTTTGGGGGGCTTGGCGCACAGGCGGGTTCCGGTGCAAAACGCAACCTCGGGAACGGCGGCGGCGGCAGAATTCGTGTTGGTGGTGGTGCCGACAATCCTGGCCATCTGCTGGAGGACGGCGGTCGCGGAGCGGCGGATGTCCTCGACCGAGGCCCGGTGGTCGTCGTTGCTGCCGCTGTTGTCCTGTTGGACGCTGCCGTCGCCACCCATGCGCATCCCGATCTCGGTGGAGATGTGATTGGCGGCGAGGTCGGTGATGGTGCGACCGTTGCCGAAGCGAGGAGCCTGGATATACGCAAAGGTGTTTAGAGGAAGCCGGAGGAAGTGCTTTGCGTTACGGCATGATGGCGGTTGGTTTGCTGTCGCAGAGCGAAGAAGCGATGTTGCCATAAAGTGCTAATCTTGGAATGAGGCGAGTGCTCGCGGGAAATAAGCTAGGGCGTGTGTCCTTAGTTGACAAACCGGAAGCGCT